TGGAGGGACCGCGCAGGAGGGGAAGACCCTCTATGAGGTGGATTGATTCAGTGACTGGGGTAATCGGGATGGGTGTGTCAGAGTCAGTATGATTGGCACAGAATAGAGCAGGGTTTAGGGCTGTTGTACATAGGGTCACTATGAGTCACAAACAACTCAACGGCACATAACAACAACAACAATAATAAAGCGAAGAAGTGGCTATGATGCCCTAGTTACTCCAGTGCATGGAAACCCAGAAAGTCACTTAACTTGTTATTACAAAGATCTGATTTTGCAAACACGCATTAAAGAAGTTAACACAGGGATGAAGCAAGCTAATCCCACAACTCAGACCATAAAGGGCTGGTTACTTCAAACTAATGCTCAGCTTCGATTCTCTCTGCTGGAAAGTAGCTTTCTACAACATCCTTCCAGCCTTCTGTCTATAGACTTTCTTTGTTCCTCACTCAATGACATGCTGGGTCTGTGTTAGGTGTGTTCTAGCCATTTGGAGAATGAGGACAGAGAGCAGTAGGATCCTTGTTTAGTGACACTGCCTTTCTCTTATCAAATGGGAGTTCACAGATGTGAAAAAGCAGGTGAAGAAACTGCTTTAATTCTTTAAAAATTTTGAATGAAATACAGTGTGCTTTTGAAGAGCTGATTTTTTTTAAATTTAGGTTGTTTATTTTTCATTTCAATGAACATCTACAGAGATTTTGGAATTCCATTGCTGGTTTAATCTTTAAAGTTTACACAATGTCTATGCCTTGGTGTAGTAGTGTCAGATATCCAATGCCCAGTGTCAGATATCCAATAAGCAAGATAAGCATAGATGTACTTACCTGTTTACTAATCTATAGTGAACAGTGTAAAACTCTTCCAAGCATGATGTCCATCTCCAAGGACCAGTCTCTCCTGGCCATATGCCCAAAGTATGTGAGGCAAAGCTTCAAAATCCCAGTCTCCAAGGAGAGACTTGGTTTCACCCTCTCCAAGACAGACCTATTTGTTTTCTTGGCAGTCCATGGTATGTTCAAGACTCTTCTCCAGCACCACAACTCGAAGGAATGAGTCCTTCTTCTGTCATTCTTAGACATTATCCAGCTCTTTGAAGCATAACAAATAATTGAGAAGGCCATGGCCTGCATCAGGCACACCTTAGTCTCTGGACTGACATTGTTGCTTTTCAGTACTCTGGAGATGTCCCTGACAGTAGATTTTCCCAATGCAATCCATCATTTGATTTCCTGACTGCTGGTGTTGTGTTGATTGTGGAACCAAACAAGCTGTAATTGCTAACAACCTCAATCTCTTCTCCATCCATCATGGTGCTGCCAATTGCCCAAGTGGGGAGAATCTTTGTCTTCTTGATGTTAAGCTTCAGTCTATACTGAAAACTACAGTCCTTGACCTTCTCCATCAAACTCTTCCGATCTTCTTCAGTTTCATCAAGCAAAAGTTGTGTCTTCCTCCAATCTTGATGCCACACTCCTCCTCATAAAGCCCTGCTTCCCAAGTGATCTGTTCTGCTTACAGATTGAAAAAGTATGGGGACAGGATGCATCTCCGACACACTCCTTTCTTGATTTTGAACCATGCAGTGTTTCCCTGCTCTGTTCTGAGGACTGTTTTCTGGCCAAAGTATAGGTTTCGCATAAGCACAATCAAGTGTTCTATGATTCTCATTCTTCTCAAGGTTAGTCACAATTTGTTTTGATCCACACAGTCAAATGCCTTTGCACAGTCAATGAAAAATAGACAGACATACTTTCATGAATTATGTTCCTTGTGAGTGGGTACTGAGAATTTTATAGATTCATTCTTTGACCCTTTTGTGGAATGTGAGCACAGTCAATAAAGCTACATGTATGAAGATGAAAGAAAATCTCTAAGTTCCCTAAAGACTAGGCAGTATGTCACCAAAGCTCTTTGTTCTTAGCTGGTGTTACTAATGTTGTTCAAGAGAGTATGGTAAGCTGAGATGTAGACTTCACTCTAAGATATCCTCAGTTTCTGCTATGGTGAATAGCAGTTCAGTCTTGCCTCTACTCATATTTGAAGACTTGAGTCAATCTTTCTAGGTTCCAAGTGCCCAACAAGCATAATTGTGTTGGCAGAGTTCATGTGGGAATTTCAGAAGACAACATAGGGTGACTTACTGACTTGCTTTATAGACAGTGAAGGGTCAACTCCTCGTGGTGGCTAAATTCTTTAAAGTTCTTCAGTGCTGTTCCTCGGTCAAACCTGACAATGGGGGATCCAGGAGAAAAGAGACACACAAAGAAATGCTGGATTAGTGCACAAAGACCTGCCTCTAAGGCCAGTTTTTTATTTTGACTTACACAGATTTTAACCTAAACTCCCTGAGTGAAAAAAGAAAATAAGTAGACAATGATATGTTAACAATACCTTTTTAGACGGTCATTTAGAGAGTTTGTATTAAGTGTTCCAAAATCCCTTGATAGTGCAAATGATTGCCATGCACAGCTGATAACTGAAGAGTTGGAGATTCAAGTCTACCCAAAGGTGCCTCAGAAACAAACAAACAAACAACCTGATGATTTGCTTCCCCAAAGTCAGCTTTGAAGCCCAGTTCTGCTCTGACACAGGTTAACTTTCTATAAATCAGGATCCTTGGTGGCCTAGGGGTAAAGAGTTGCACTGCGATGACAAAAGTGCATCGATCCACCTGCTGCTCCGTGGGAGAAAGATGGACAGTTTACTGCCTCTGAAAACCCACTAGAGGGTCAGCTATGAGTTGGTTCTGACTTAATGTTACACAACACCAATCAGAATCAGCTATGGTAGTTGTTTATGGTAGCATTACATGTCAGATAACTTGCTAAATGTTTCTCAAACTCTATCCAATAAAGTCTCACTCAAGACCTATAAGACCTCAGCCTTAGAAAATCTCTCAAGATTTAGAATCAACTCAATGGCACTGGATTGGATTTGTTATTTTATTCAAAAAGAGGAAAATAAAACTGAAGGTCTGGAACTTACATCACTAAATGACAGAGCTGCAATTCAAATATACATCATTATCTTTAAGAGCACAACTCTTAACTCCTGGGTTATAAGGTCTCCCTTATGTTTCTGAGCTCAGAGGACACTCAAAGCAAAACTACAAAGATATCCATCCCTTCAAAGCTTGTGGGCTTTGCCATAGTGTCCTATAGTTTTCTTCATGTATGCTGTTTCTTAAATTGTGATGAGAGTGGTGGAAGAAAAATGATTGAGAGGGAAGCTGCCTCCAGAGTGGGTAGAAACCGGGACTGAGATCTCTAAGCTTCTGCCAAGCGTAGCGTTTTGTAATTTGCCAAAGTCATCCTTGGATGCACATTTCAGCAATGGCATCCCTTAAATGTCTCTTGTGGGCTTTTATTTTTTTTTCCCCCAAAACCAAGCTATCCTCTACAGTCAACATCTCACTTTGTCAACAGCCACCTTCTTTACAAAAGGGTTCTCTGTAGGTTACTATAATCTTGCAGAAACTATAATTTTTCTCCCTGTTTAATGTCTGTCTGCTATTTTTGTGCTCTGCGCCTTCCTGCCAGCTTTGGCATCCAGCACGATGGGAAGGAGAATGACTGTGAGCCCGTGGGCAGACACCCGTACATCATGTCCCGCCAGCTCCAGTATGATCCCACCCCGCTGACCTGGTCCAAGTGCAGCAAGGAGTACATCACCCGCTTTTTAGAGTAAGTGACAGCTCACCTCATGATGCCTGAGAGTTGGGTCTCTTTAAACCAATAGTCATTATTGGTTGTTCATGGAAGGCCTGCTGCCTGGAGAAGGCTTGGTTCTTCCAAAAGCCACACTGTGAGAGTGACATCAGATAGAGTGAAGTTCTATTCTGCTTTCTGGGTTTTTGAGGTCTAGGTGATTTCTGTTCTCCCTCCATGGCCAACCAGACATCCTTTATTCTCTCTGCTTGCTCCTAGTCCACAGTGGATCTTTATGATCAGAATGTGAATTCAGTCATTGGCTTCTTGCACCTCTTCCTCCCGTGCAGGGGAGACTGATAGGAGCAATCAGACAGGTGAGAATTAATCACCAGTATCCCGTTGAAGATAAAGTGATGGTGTTGTTCTACCATTTGTATTTCTTCAATCACAGCTGAATTAATGGCATGAGATAGGATTTGCCTTTCCTTCTAGGTAGCCTCTTCCTTAGGCCAAGAAGCATGTCTACCTTCTTGAAATTATCTTGAAGACAAATGGTTGTAAATTGGAAGGATTTGTGTTGAATAAAAGACTAAAGGGAATTTTAAGCAACTGCTCTTTTTTTCTTTTTAAAAAATAGTTTTTTTACTTTAATTGTGATTTTAACGAATGTTTACAGAAAAGGTGTATTTTCATTCATTAATATTTGCACATTTTTACCCACTCTCAATTTCTTCTCCCTTCCTCAGTAGACACTTTTGTGTTTTGGTGTTGTTTTTTTTTTAAATATTAATTCATTGTTGTACAATTACCTCCCTCCCCCACTCTACAGTCCTCTTTGCAATGTACCTCTTACTCTGGACTGTTGTCATATACATAATGCCTAATCATATATTCCTTTTGAACAGTCCTTTCTTTCATCTGTTTTCTATTAATTTGTTTCCAGTCGAGGTTGGGGTTTCTGCCTTGATGACATCCCCAAAAAGAAAGGCTTGAAGTCCAAGGTCATTGCCCCAGGAGTGATCTATGATGTTCACCACCAATGCCAACTACAATATGGTCCCAATGCTACCTTCTGCCAGGAAGTAGAAGTAAGTGTGTGACATCTTGGTGCCTCTGGTGGGACTGTTCTTTACTCCTGCATGCTGAAAGAAGGAAAGTATTTAGAAATCAAGATACAGGAAAGTTTCTGTTCGTGGTGAGGTATCTCTAATGCACTTTAGTTGAGATCATTTACATTTCTTGACTCAGCTTCTTTGATATTTCTAAGAAGTCAGCAGTTCATCAAAGTTCCACAATGATTTTTCAAGACTGACAGTGATTTACACCTGCACACTCCACAGAGCCCAACTTAATCATTAAAGTGGCTCTCTTCTGAATTTGCCATCTGGTTGTAAATTCACTGTAACCCAAGATAAAAGTAAGATTCTTTCGCAATTCATTTTCTCCCTTTATTATCAACATTCCAATGATAAGCCAAATCCTGATATCATACATACTCAACACTTTTTTATTCTGACTCATTTTATTCATTGCTACTGTTACTGCCTTCATTCACTTTCTCATCACTCTCCTTGCTACTGTGATTAAATTGGTTTTCTTTTAATACAAATTCTTGTCTAAGTTATTTTAAATAATACAATCTAATCATAGTTCTCTTTTGCTCTGTGTCCTAATCACAGAATAAAGTCTCAGCCCTACTTATTCACTTAACTCATCCCTGTTGGTACAAAAGTATTAGTGTTAATGCAAAGACATTATTAAGGCAAGTCTTGAATTCTATGCTGTAAATGGAATTAGATGAAAAGGATGAACATTCAAAAATTAATAAGACAAATATTTGCCCTTAAGCAGCTTGTGCTGTTATGGTGGAGGTAGTCATTAAAAAAAATATAACACTGTGAGGCACATACAAAAAGAAAAATGTAGAGAGAACTCTGAAGATGAAGTGAGCTAGGCTTGAGCAGCAAAAGCAATGTTTAACAGGGGAAATGAAGTTAGTATTAAAACACCTCAGCCCTCATTTCAAGCCATTTACCAAACTATACACACATGCCATCTAAATATCAAACAACATTCTGCCTCCCCATGACTTCAAGCCTCCTGATTATTTTCCTTTTATAAAGTTGGCCTATCCTCAACTCAAATCTATTTTCTTAAATCCAGCAAAACTAGTTTCCTCAGATTATATTAAAATTCAATTTTTGGCGTGTTTTTGTTGGAATGAACCTATAAATGACCCTCCAGTGGGTTTTCAGAGGCAGTTGATTGCAAGGGAGATTTCCCATCCTTCTCTTACAGAGCAGCTGGTGAATTTGAACCTGGTGCTGTTGGGATTGTAGTGCAGATTTTTACCACTAGGTTCCTAGAGTTCCTGATTGATTGATTGATTGATTGATTGATTGATTGGTTTGTCTGTTTATTTATTTTGTATTGGAAGTTACCTTTGGAAACATTTATCCCTAATAATTAGCAAGGACCTGATCTAGCTTAAAATCTCATTGCATTGATATTAAAAACTGACTCATAGCTGACCCTCCAGCTGGTTTCCAAAGGCTATAAATCCCACAGGAAGAAATTGCCCATTCTTTTCCATTTGAGTTCTAATCACCTAAAAGGCACTGCCTTTAAGTAAGCAGTTCGACTCTCAATGGACTAGACCACTGGAACTCACTGCCTGATGCATGCTGTTGTACCATCAAGTTGGAACTGACTTACAGCTGACCCTCCATTGATTTTTCATAGGCAGTAAATCACATGGGACGAGATTAACCATCTTTTTCCCAGACAGCAGCTGGTGGATTTGAACCATGTTCCTTTGGGTTTTCAGCATGACTCCTTACCACTAAAGCCACCAGAGTAGCTAAGATAACCTAAAAATGTTCAAATTTCAAAAACTGACAAGATCAGGAAATATAACATCATCTTCTAAATTTAAAAATAGTTTATGACTCAACAAAGTTGACATTTTTACTGAAAGTTCCTGTGTACTCTTTGCCCAGCATATCTTTCTTAAATTCATAGGGAACTTACAAGAAAGTGAAAGGAAATCTTTGGAGGAAAAAAACCACTAAAATAAGAGTGGTAAGCATGAGTAGACAGACACTGAGGTTGAAGGTAACTGGAGGGTGTGGAATTTAACACCCAGGTATGGTCAGGTGATGACACCGCCACCTTGAGCAGGGCAGAGAATTCAAGCTGAGATCACACACATGAATTTGGGACCATTGAAGACAAAGCCTAAGTGGAAAGCTTGCTCAACTCATAGCTGTCAAGTCAGAATCCACTCACAGCTGACCCTCCAGTGGACTTTCGGAGGTTATGCATTGTGTGGGAGGATATTGTCCATCTTTCTCATATGGAGTCACTAGTGAGTTTGAAGCACCAAGGTGGTGCTTGCAGTTGTCGAGTTAGCAATGCAAAACATTCACTAACAGCAAAGGAAGACAGCAGGGAGATCTTCTGTCTCAGTCTAGGCTCAAAGGGTAGAGGCAGGGATACATTTCTCACTTGAAAATTGTTTATCTTAGAGCAGTCTCTTGATTTAAAGCTCCAAGTTACAGCTCTGTGTGATTTATAGCCTCAGAAACTCAACAGAGGGTCAGTTAGGGATCAGTTCAGACTCAACAGCCGTGACGGATTGACTGATTGATTGTACAATATTCATCAGTTGAGTTTTTAGAGTAGTAAAATAAGTGCACAAGAGAAGAACTGTACATAAGAAAAAGGAAAATAATCCATGTATAATATATATATGGTAGATATTAAAAATCACAAAAGACGTTTTAGAAATTAAAAACATATTAATTGACTTTAAAACTCTGTTTCTTGTTCTTATTGCCATCAACTTGGACCTGACTCAATTGACCTTCCACTGGTTTTCCAATCTCACCCCTGAAGACTGCCCGTCTTCCTTCTGTAGAGCCACTGGGGGACTTGAACTGCCAGAAAGGTGTGGCCTTTGAGTTAGCAGCACAAGTTCCTACAGACTATACCACCTAAAGCCCCTAAAAACTGCAGATGGGTTAAACAGCAGGCTTGGCCAGCTGAAGAACAATCAGATGGAGCTCAAAGCTGAGGAAATTACTCCCATCCCAATATTGTTTGTTTCAGTCTCAGACCCAGGGTAAGGGGTGAAGGAATGGACTACTCTGGTGAAAATCTTGTTCTTCCATTTTTCTCATACAAGAAAGCTTCAAAACATTCGAGTAAAATTAACAGCAATTATGAGTTCTGTGACAGGAGAATAATCTAGTAAAATATAGGCAGAGACTAAATTTAGAGAGATAAAGATGGAGAATTGTCTGTAATTGTTGATAGGTGTGAAATCTCATTATGAGAAAACTCATTGAATACAGACCAGGGTAAGCGGGTGGCATTGTGGATACAGCACACAGTAAGCCGATGGCAACAGCAGTTGTTAAGGGCTCTCCAGTCAATCCCACCTCATCCCACCTCTATATTCAACAGAACAAAACACTTAGCTGGACCTGGTCCATTCTCACAACACCGTCAGTCCATCTTGTTGAGAATCTTACTCTTGCTAGCCGATCTCTTACTTCCCCAAATAGGGTATAGTTTATCAGGGATTGACCCCTCCTAATAACATGCCCAAAGTATGTGAGATGGAATAAAACTTTCAGAACCTTCCTTTGTTGATTGAACTTCAGTCACAGATGTCAAAAGTTGGCAAACATCAAACATCCATTAAGGAGGATATGAGACCAAGTGGCAGATGGAAGCCCTTGAGTCACTTTAGATGACATATAAGAAGCATGCCACCCTCCTTATTCTCACAGGGTAGAAGTGAGGAAATATACAGTTCATTTGTTGGAACCTAAACTGACTAAATAATAAGTAAACACACTGAGGTTTTCTGGGAAAAAGAGTTTCTCTTCTTTCAGTGACTGGGTTCAAATTAAAATCATTCCAACTCTTTACAGCCAGATTGTCTTCTAGCCTTGATTTGGATTTACCTTTGATGTTTAGTATCACCAACTTTTCTTGCCCATTGATAATGTTCTCTAAACATTTTGCCACAGAGGTAATCAGTACAGCCTCAACTGTTAGGAGATGGGTTGTATTTCCCCATTGCCTTCTGTGGCCTGTAGATCACTACAGAGAATAACAAAGTACAAATCAACTTTCATCTTAGGGTTGGTTATCTAGTGATTCTCTTTCATTTTTCTTATGACAGTAATGACAGCATATGTGTGTGTAAGAGAGGCAAAGAGGCTATACTTAATGAAATTGTGTACTGAGAAGTTCTTGTGAACAGGAAAAAAGTGAAGTCTCACTTTCATTTCCCAGAATGTCTGCCAGACCCTGTGGTGCTCGGTAAAAGGCTTTTGTCGCTCAAAGTTGGACGCTGCTGCCGATGGGACAAGGTGTGGCGAGAAGAAGGTAATACATCAGTCTGTGGGGAAAAAAATAGGAGGGTGGTGAAAGAAAATAGTGATGTGGCTAAGAGCTCGGAGAATGCCCTGGAGAGTGGCCCGACAGGTGAGAAGCGGTGAGTGGGGAGAGCAGGGCCAGGCTCGCTAGGGGAATGGATTCCGTTTCCACTACCCTTTCGGAACCTTCACTGGCAAGAAGTTGTTCGTGAAAGAGAATTGAGGTCCAGTTCCACACTTCACTTATTAAATATCTGTCCCATCTTTCTCTATGGAAGTGCTATGAGATTTATGGTATTAACGCTGCCTGGGCTTGTTATCTAAAACCTTCATTTTCACTTTTCTTCTTCTGTATTGAAGATTACAAAGGATAAATTCATGGCTTGTCCTTTCAAAGATGCCTGATATTGATCTTTTCATCTCATCATCTGACCTGGTTATTGTTGTTGGTTATTCCTCATTGCTGTCAAGTTGAGCACGACACATAGCGACCCTATGATCAAAAGGCCTGAAGCCCCTCTACAACTATCAACATTTATCAAAGTTATTAGAGTTTCCAGAGGCATGCTGTTTAGGAAGTGGATGTCTCTCCTGCTTCCAAACCTGTCTTAAACAGGGTGCTCCATGAAACACTGTCCATCATGGGTAACCATTATGGATGGCATTTGACACCCCAATGGCACAAAGTTCAGCAACACGGCAACCCCAGGTTATCTCAGTACAGCATATTAACAGAAGAGTGCTGTACAATTTAGAAGAATGTTCCTCCAAAATATAATAACAACCAACTTTTAAATACAAAAGCCCTCCCCGAGGTCTTTTTGACTCTAAACAAATGTCTTTCTGTCCGTTTTATTAAGCAGGCAGTCAGACACCTGCAAATACAGTTATTTGATTGTTCTAGACCAGGCCAGTGTGCTGCCTGTACCAATTCCTGGTTTAGTGGATATCTTTATACAACTTCAGTATGTCATTACCCATCACATAAATGCTATAGTCATGTCAAAATATATATTCAGTGAGCAAAAATAATTGGGGGTAAAAAGCTCAAGAGATAAAACATTCCCAAATCCTTGAACTAAATTGTGATTCCTTTTGTTTTGTATGTTAGAATTCCTAAACTGGTAATTTTCGAAACAGTGCCTTGAGGATGGCTAAAGTGGATTTTATTCTAAGTCACTTGAATGGCCAGAGCGAACACAATGGGTTTCATCACAGAAAAGTAGATGAGGGGTTTTTTTGTCCCCCTTCATACAAGAAAGAACTTCTTAACAGTAATGTGGGGTTTTTGCTCAGTGAAGTAAAATCTGACTGCAAAAGAATGAGATCTTTGCTGCAGACATAGATTCATCCAAACCAAATCCACTGTCATTAAGTTGATTCCAACTCACAGAGGCCCTGGATGACAGAGTAGAACTGCCCTGTAGGGCTATCAAAGCTGTAAATCTTTACAGGCCCCGATTCCTGCCTGTTCCTTCTGTGAAGTGGCTGATGCTTTCTCATCACCATCCTTTCAAGGAACAGCCCAGTGTTTGGCTCTCTGAGTCCACAAATTGGCGCTAACTCACAGCAGACCCTCCATTGGTTTCTGAAGCTGTCAATTGTATGGGAAGATTGCTTATGCCTCTTCTTCAGAATGGCTGCTGGATTCAAACTACCGGAGATCTGTGGTTTTTAGGTTAGCAGCACATTTCTTTAGGGACTAGGCCACCCGAACCACTAGCACCTCTTCAATACCTGTGCTGTTGTGCCCTGAAGAAGTGGGATTCTTTAAAGAAGTGTTCACCTTATGTCTTATACCTGCAATGGCATACAGAGCGGCATCAGAAAGTAAAGAAATTATGCTATTAAATAATTATGCTAAACTGATATGATTTTTCTTTTTTTACTTTCGAGTCATGATTTTATTTTAGGGAACTGGATGGTTTAAGGGAGAGAGGCAGGTTTCAGGTAAGAGGGCACACATGCAGCTATCCTATTACTGGATATTATTTACTTCCTCTAGGTTTTTTGTTTGTTTGTTGTGGTTTTTTGAGGGTAAAATAGTAATGATAAATTAGTTGAAAAGTTACATTCTCAAAAGGCTGGATCTTCCTCCTTGAAAGGAGATATGGTGGGACGGCCTACTTCCTCTAAGTTTTAAACTGACATGATTTTTTATAGCAAGACTCTGTCAAGAAGGAAGCAGTGCATTGATTTACATTCTGGTGTGGAATCTGTTGGCCACACTTTGCTTTAACATTGTCTTTTATAAATTGTAACTGTTGTTATTATTAAGTATTGTGGAATTGAATTTTTACTTTTGACAGAACAACCCCTCTGACAAAGTAGAACTGCCCCAGAGAGTTTTCTTTCGGCTGTAATCCTTTTGAAAGTAAGTCACCATGTCTTTGGGTTAGCAGCTGATTCCCTAACCATTAAACCACCATGGCCCCTCCAGTTGTGACTAGGCACTGTAAGATTTTTCTTCTGTTCCTGAAATGAGCAGGATTTTGGAAGAAACTCCTTTAACAAGCATTTGTTCTAATGCCGATGTTGTGTAGCCACAGAAAGCTTCCGTGTGCAGGGGAAATTGAGTCTAAACCAACAACGTTGCACCACTTGCTTTGGGAACTGTCCTGACTTTGCATCTCTTCTCTCTTCCTCTCCCAGTGGTGTATGGCTGGCAAGTGCATCACAGTGGGGAAGAAGCCAGAGAGCATCCCAGGAGGCTGGGGCCGCTGGTCCCCCTGGTCTCACTGCTCCAGGACGTGCGGGGCTGGAGTCCAGAGTGCAGAGAGGCTTTGCAACAACCCTGAGTAAGTCTGACCAAGTAGATGGCCCAGCAGCCTACCAAAGGTGCCTTGGAGATCTAAGAGCACAGGATCACAGTGACCATAAGACTCCTGAAAAAGAATCAAATGGGTCTCTAAAGATAGAGAGGATCAGAAGATTCACAGAGTTGCTATGTCGAAGATATGGGGGTGGGGGGTGTGCGCATTGGGCGGGGAGTGGTGCACTGGATCCTTACAAGACCTTGCACAGACAGGCTGTCTGTCTGGGAAAATAAGCAGATTTCTTTTTAAAGTATAATTTATATGAAAGCCTTTAGGAGATTATTACATTAAATCCTTTTAGATAATTCCACACTCTCAGTGAGAAGAAGCACTCATCCACTTAGTTACACCCAGCTTTGCTGATAAGATTGTAGCCTGCTTTTAATCATAGCAAATGTAAAATTTTCTCTTTAAAAGAATCAATTGGCCCCACAGGTTACTGGTGAAATAGTTGGGCACATTTTAAAGATAATGATTCTCAGTGACTTAGATAAGGATATTTCATAATATTCAGTGTTTTAGATTATGCTTCATAGTAGCCTGTTAGGGATTCTGTACCTTATCTCATAAATGGCTTTTGGCTTTGTAATGAAATGGATTTATTTTTTCACATATTATAGTTCCATGCAGATATGAATGAGAAAGGTGAAATTAAATTTTAATCCTCTTGTTTTTCAACTATATATTAAATTCCTGGTTTCATTATTTACTGGTACATTAATTCCCAAGTGTATTTTCCCCAAAATATAAGTGTGATCACTGTGTAGTAAACGACAAAACACCAATGGTTTGGATTTTACAAGTTCCACACATGTGATATAGGGATCTCTGGTGGCCTAGTGGTGAGAAGCTGCACTGCAATCCCAAAGGCACATGGTTTGAATCCACCAGCTGCTCTGTTGGAGGATAGTCAATCTACTCCCATAGGATATACTTATCTGAAAATCCGTTGGAAGGTAAGCTATGAGTCCGTTCCAACTCAGTGGTACACAACAAAATAAACAACAGGCATTGGTGAGCTGAGATGAATTGGCACAGGCCACTTTGAATCAGACAATCTTATGATTTACTGTGAGAGAATGAAAATGTGAGTAAAAATGGGGTTGCATTCATAGTCGAAAAGACTATTTCTAGATCCATCCTGAAGTAAGTGTTAGAATACTATCCAATGCATACAGAGAGGACTTGAAATACCACTATCATTCAAATATATGCCCCAACAACTAGAGTTGAAAAGGAGGAAATAGATTTCTACCAACTTTAATAATAATTGATGACTGGGGTACAAACATTGGGAACAAGGAAGAAGGATCAGTAGTTGGAGAATATGGGCTTGGTGACAAAGGCTGGAGATAGAATGATAGAATTTTGTATAATTAATGATTTCTCTCCTCCCATGCGATTAACTGCCTCTGAAAACCCTCTGGAGGTTCATCTATGGGTTAATTCCAACTCAATGGTACTCAACAACATTGCAAATAACTTTTATAAAAAACATAAATGGTGACAATACACATGGACCTCACTTGATGGACTAAACAGGAATCATGCTGATTACTTCTGTAGAGAGAAACATTGATTGGAGAAGCTCAATATCAGCTGTGAAAAAGATGCTGACTGTGGCACTGGTACTGACTGTGGGACAGACCATTAGCTATTTGTGTACAAGTTCAACTTGAGGCTAAAGAAAATGGAAACAAGTCCATAATAACCAAAATATGACCTTAAGTCTACACCACTTGGATTGAAAAAGACATTTCAAAACCTATTTGAGACATCAAACACTAGTGAACAAAAACCACGTCATCTGTGGGATGATATCAAGAATACCATCCATGACAAAAGCAAAAAGGTCATTAAAGACAGAGCAGGAAGAAATGACCAAAATGAATGTCAGAAGAACCTCTCATAATTGCATTAGAGAGCTGAAATGCCAAAACAAAGGGAAGAGATGAGACACTTAAAGAGTTGAACAAAAGATTTCAAAGGGCAGCTATGTGCAAAGAGTCTGTCACAAAAAGGTAACTATTATATAAAACTAAGGAAAGGTTTACACACAAAGAGAATACTTCTTGGATGACTTCCAAAAATGGGAAAGAAAGGAGAGTAAAAATTAATAAATACATAAGTGAAGGAAAAGACAATATAATATATAAGAGGCTGTATATGAATAATCAAATAAAATTATAATGGCAGTGTTATAAAATGTGCTTGAATGATTGGATTAAAAACTAATATGATTTATAAATTTTCACTTAAATAAAAACACAATATAGAAAATTAAAAAAAGAACTCACAAGCTAAACAAATTCAAGCCCTGATTTGCAATGTGTATTTGTGTTTCATTGGCTATGCACACATATTCGACTGTGTGGTCCCAACAAACTATAGCTGACTCTGAGAAGATGCGAATACCAGAAAATGTGGTTGTCCTTATGCAAAACCTATAGTTGAACGAGGAGGAAGTCATCAGAACAGAGCAAGGAAACAATGCATGGTTCAAAATAGGGAAGGGTGTATGACAGGGATGCATCCTATCTCCACACTCTTTCAATATATATGTGGAAGAGATCATCTGTGGCTGGCTCTATAGGAAGAATGTGGCTTCGGGAATGGAGGAAGACTCATTAATAAACTGCATTATGCAGTTGCCATAACCTTGCTTGCTGAAGCTGAGAAGGACCTAAAGTACTTGATGGAGAAAGTGAAGGACTGCAGCTTTCAATATGGATTGAAGCTCACCATCAAGAAAGCAGATTTTTCACCATTGGGCTGACTGGTAGCATCATGATAGATAATGAAGATATTGAGATTGTTAACAGCTTCAGTTTTCTTGACTCCACAATCAACACTCTTGGTGTCAAGAGCTAGAAAACCAAAAGACTAATTACATTGGGAAAGTCTGCTGTCAGGGACTTCTCCAGGATACTGAAGAGAAGCATTGTCAGTCTGGAGACTAAAGTGCCTGATCTGGGCCATGGTCTTTGCAATTACTTGCCATGCATCAGAAAGCTGGGCAATGACTAGGGATGAGAGAAAGAGAATTGATACCTTTGAGCTGCGGTGTTGGAGAAGAGTATTGCATATAACATGGACAAACATGAACAAATACAGATTTGTCCTAGAGAGGATAATATCAAGCTGCTTTTTGGAGGTAATGATTCTAAATCTTTGTCCAACATATTTTGGACATGTTGCAAGGACATTCCTGATAGGGTGAAGGGACAGCACAAGAGAGGAAGATACTCGATGAGATGATTGACTCAGTGACTGTGGTAATGGGGTAGATGTGTTAGAGACAATAAGGTTAGCTCAGGATAGAGTAAGGTTCAGAGCTCTTGTGCATGAGGTCGCTATGAATAGCAAACCACTTTATGGCACATAACAAGAACAACATGGATAAAATGTTGAATGATCTAGAAAATGTCAAAAGAAGATGGGAGGAGAACACAAAATCCCTGTGCCAAAAAGAATTGGCTGACACGGAACCATTTAAGGAAGTGGCATATGATGAAGAATCAGTGATAATAAAGAAGGAAGTTCAAGCAGCTCTGAAGGAATTGGCAAAAAATAAGGCCAATGGAATTGATGGAATACCAACTGAGATATTTCCACAAACAGATGATCCCCTACATATGCTCACCAGGTTGTGTCAAGAAATCTGGAGGAGGACAGATACCTGGCCAACTGGCAGGAAGAAATCAATATTTATTCTTATCCCCTCCCCCCACCAAAAGAGGTGATTCAACAGAATGTGGAAATTGTAGAGCAATATCACTAAACACAAACAAGGAAAATCTTGCTAAAGATTATAAAAAAAAAAATGACTAGAGTACATTGACAAAGAACTACCAGAAATACAAGCAGGATTTAGAAAAGGCCTTTGCTCTAGAGATAACATTGCCAAGATGATCATTAAATAGATCTTTGTTGAAAGAAGAGAGTACCAGAAGGATGTCTGTATGTGTTATATTGACTATGTAAAGACATTTGACCATGTGGATCACAACAAGTTGTGGCTAACATTGAGAAGAACAAGAATACCAGAACGCTTGATTGTGCTTATGTGAAAATTATAACAGGAAGCTGACATATAAAGAGCAAGGGAACACTACTTGATTCAAACTCAAGAAAAGAGTGAATCAAGGATGCATCCTTTCTCCAAACCTTTTCAATCTATGTGTAGAATAGATAATTCAGGAAGTTAGACTTTATAAAGAAAAATGTGACATCAGGATTTGAGGAAGACGATTCAGCAATCTGTGATATGCAGATGACATAACCTTGCTTGCTGAAACTGAGGAGAACTTGAAGTATTTGCTACGGAAAGTTAAGGACTATAGCCTTTAATATGGATTATATCACAGCATCAAGAAAATAAAAATCCTCACCACTGGGCCAATATGCAGTATCATAATAAATGGAAGAGAGATTGAGGTTGTTAACAATTTCATTTTACTCACTTCCATAATCTTGGCACGAGCAATCAGGAATCAAAAGACAAGTTGTTTTGGGAAACTCTACTGTCAGGGACCTCTCCAGAGTACTAAAGAGCAATAATATCAGACTAGAGACTGAGGTTCACCTGACCAGGCCATGGTCTTCTCAGTTGCTTCCCATGCATCTGAGAGCTGAACAATGACTGAGGATAATAGAAGAAGAAGTGATGCTTTTGAGGTAAGATTCTGGAGAATACTATTGAACATACTATGGACCACCAAAAGAACAAACAGGGTAAAATGAGGTTGTTTTTAGAATCAAGGATTTTGAAGCTCAATGTCACATACTAGGGACATTTTGCCAGGAGGAACCAGACCTTGGAAAAGAATATCATGCTTGGAAGGGTAGAAGGTCAGCACAGGAGAGGAAGACAATGGATGAAGTGGATTAATATAATGACTAATGTCACTGGGGGTCTGGTGTGTCAGAGATGGCAAGATTGTCTCAGGATAGTAGGGCAAGGTCTGGGGCCATTGTTTATAAGGTTACTATGAGTCATAGTTGACTTCACGGCACAGAACAACAATATGAGGGAATGTGAGTAAGATTATATGTAGTCACCAGTCACAGACCAAGTCGATGTCGAACAACAATCAGAGGAGTAATTGAAGTAGGAGAGCTTCGTTGGCTCAGAGTCAGATGCTTACTTTATGTGTGAGACACCTCAGTTCAGTTCCTAGCCAGAGCACCTCAGGCACAACCACCACCATCTGTCATTGGAGGCTTGTGTATTGCTTCAATGTTGAACAGATTCCCATCGCACTGCTCAGGTAGACAAGGGAGAAATACCTGGAATTCTACTTCCAAAAATAAGCTAGTGTAAATTCCATGGAACACAATAGTTGATCTGTCATTGATTGAGGAGATAATGCAGTGTTTTGTCCCATTATTTGTGAGGTAGATATAAGTCAAAGCTCATCCCTTGGTAGCTAACAATAATACCTACTTGAAGCACTGCTTAGGGGTCATAAAGGAATTAGAACTGGGGTTATGTTATCAAACATTCTTTGGGAATGAGAAGTTCAGAAAGTGCATGTTTCAGGTGACCATGAAGTGCCACTGAAGAAGCAGAAGAGATGACTTCTGGTAGAATCCAGGGAGCCTTTGTGATGGAGGCACTAGCACTTAGTGTGGACATTCAGAGACAGAGAGAGGAAAGCTAGCCAGACACACAGAGAAGAAATAGTAAGCAATTTTATTTGTATAGCTGATGAGACCAATGAAGAAGGGTGTGGAAAGTCAAGTTCTCAAGACAAGATCATGAGAGCATGGGGCTTCATGCTATACCCGGTAGATTCCATTGAAGATTTAAACAGAAATATAAAATAATGGTGAAAATGGATTGAGGGGACTCAAAACAAACCACCAAACATTGTCATTGAGTCAATTCCAACACCTAGTGACATTTAATTAGTGTCTGAGGCTGGAAAATTTACTGAAAGAGATTCCCTGTCTTTCTTCACAGTGCAACAGGTCGTTTCCATCCTGTAACCTTTTGGTGAGCAGCCCAAGATGTAACATATATCAATAAGGCTCCTTAAAATAACAATCTCGGCTTCATTGCCATCAAGTCACAACTGACTCATAGTTGATCCCCTCAGAGGATTTTCAGAGGCTGTAAACCACATGGGAGGAGACAGTGCATCTTTCACCTACATAGTAGCTGATGAATTCTAACCAGCTACCTTTGGTTTGAGAGTCCAGCTCCCTATACACAAGGCCATGAGAGCTTCATAAAATAATGACAGTGTGGGAAAAATAAAACCAATCAAGTAAAGGAAATCCCAGAACGTTTGATCATGCTTATGAGAAACCTATACTTGGACCAGGAGGCAGTTAGAACAGAGCAAGGAAACACTCCATGGTTCAAAATTGGTAAGGGTGTACTCCAGGGATGTGTCCTATCTCCATACCTTTTCTACCTATATGCAGAGCAGATTATCCGGGAGGCTGGGCTGTATGAGAAGTATGGCATCAGAATTGGAGGAAGATTCATCAAGAATCTGTGTTATGATACAACTCTGCTTACTAAAACTGAGGAGGACTTGAAGTGCTTGCTGCAAAAGGTCAAGGACTGCAGCCTTCAATCTGGATTGGGGCTCAATATCAAGAAAACAAAAATTCTCACCACTGGGCCAACTGGCAGCCTCAGGATGGATGGTGAAGAGATTGAGATTGTTCACAATTTTAGTTTACTTGGCTCCACAGTCAACACTCTTGGCACCAGCAGCCAGGAAATTAAAAGACATATTGAGTTGGGGAAAGTCTGCTGTTAGAGATCTCTCCAAAGTAATGATGAGCAATGATGTCACTCTGGAGACTAAGGTGTGCCTGATACAGGCCATGATATTTGCAATCACTTGCTATGCATAAGAGAGCTGGGCAATGACTAGGGAGGATAGAAGAAGAATTGATGCCTTTGAGCTGTGGTGTTGGAAAAGAGTGTTGAATATTCCATGGACTACTACAAAAATAAACAAGTTCATTCTGGAGAGGGTTAAACCAGGCTGCTCCTTGGAGGCAAGGATTCTGAAGCTTTGTCTGACGTACTTTGGACATGTTGCAAGGAGGGACCAATCCTTGGGTAGGGACATCATGCTTGGGAGGGTGGAGGGACAGCACAGGAGGGGAAGACCCCTTATGAAATGGATTGATTCAGTGACTTGGGTAATAGGGGTAAAGTGTGTCAGAGACAGTGAGATTGGGACAGGATACAGCAGGCTTTAGGGCTGTTGCACATAGGGTCATTATGAGTTGCAGGCTACTCAGTGGCACCCAACAACAACAACAACAGTTAGGTAATAATGTACACTGTGAGTTGAATGGGGAAAACTTATGAGTAGAGACAAGACAAGCCTGGAAATGAGGTGTGGACTACTTTGCTGGTTACAGGGGGAAGACAACAAACAACACACTGCCATTGAGTCAGAAATGACTCACAGCTGACACACAAGCAGATTTTCAGAGGCTGTACATCATGCAGGATGGCACTGCTCAACTTTCTCTCACACAGTAGCTGGTGAGTTTGAATGAGCTGCCTTTGGGTTGACAGTACAACTCTCTAAGCACTAGGCCACCAGACCTGGAGGTAAAGACCAACTGGTTGACCAAGTAGCTAGTCAAATATGAGGCCAAAGGAAAGGCAAAGGGGAGATGGTTCTGAAATTATAACACACTCAACTCACTGAAATGGAACCTGAGAAGGAGAAATTTGATGCTTCTCTTTTCAGCATATGTTATTATGGACCCTTGAGTCAGAACTAACTCAGAGTTGACCCTTCAGCAGGTTCTCAGAGGCTGTAAATCCCACAAGAGAAGACTGCCCATTTTTCTCCCACAGAGCAGTTGATGGGGTTATACCTCTGCCTGCAGATTGGCAGTACAGCTCCTTACCACTAATCCACCAGAGCTCTCTTTCAGCATGAACTTGGTTATACTGATTGGAAAAGGTATATTATTACAAATATTACACACATTATTTCAAAATAGGCAGCTATACTTCTGGAGCTGAAATGTTGTGTGCCACGAACAGGGGCTGAAGAATGTGTGAAAAATCAGAAAAATTTATTTAGGAAGTAAGTTTGAAGGCAGAGAAGATTATGGTTTGGCAAGGAATAAGCATAGTGAAATGCTAGAGGATTTTCAAGGGAAATTCTGACCCTCCAAGAAACTGAAAGAACAGCTTGTTGACTTCATTTATAGGCCAAAGTTTGGCGGGAAGTACTGCACCGGAGAAAGAAAACGCTATCGTCTATGCAACGTCCACCCGTGCCGCTCAGAGGCACCCACATTTCGGCAGATGCAGTGCAGCGAATTTGACACGGTTCCCTACAAGAATGAATTCTACCACTGGTTTCCTGTTTTCAATCCAGGTAAGGGGCTCAAAAGTTTATATCAGATCTAAGGCCATAGCCATTATCAGAAAACAATTATATACTGGGTATCTGGGACGTTCAGCAATGCTCAACAAAAAAGAGAAATATACCCTCAAGACCTGACCTTAGAGATTTTCATATTTGAGAAAATTGAAGCAATGACTGGAGAAGTTAGCCAGTAAATGCTGCAGGCTGAAAATGTTCCCCGTTATGTTGAGCTCTGGGGGGTTAAAAGAGAAGCTTATGAAATGTTGTAAAAGGTTTAAAAAACCTGAAAGGTGATGGAATGATAAAATTAGGCTCGCGGGAGCCCAATATCTAATTGATGATGAAATTGCTTCTTGATAGATTGTGTAGCACTGATTTTGGCAGAAATTCTGAAAAGAAGGTCATCATGGGTTTAGAATAATTTTGAAGCCAGTTTCAAAGGAGGCATTTGATAATTTTAAGCATATGTAGTCTTTCTTTTGATAGAAGGAAATGGGAAGGCATTCAAAATTGAGACATTCGAAGCAAGAGGAAAGTAACACTGAGGAAGGCAGAATGAGGGGAGAGCCCTCCTCAAGAACTGAGTGAGAGCCTGCTCAGCCAGAAACTAGCATTTCATGTGGACAGAGCAGCAGGAGTTGGGTTAAAAGGAAAATAGGGCATCGATGATAAAAACTTCTGGAAGGCCCTTATATTTAATAAGTTGGGTCCAAGGGATAATCTTTTAATCCTTTGCTACTATATTTTTGAAGGAACATTCTTCTAAATTGTACAGCACTCTTCTGTCAGTTTGCTGTGCTGAGGTAATCTGGGTTTGCTGTGAGGCTAAACCTTTTACCATTGGGGGTCTCAAATGCCATAATGGCTGCCCATGGTGGACAGTGTTTCGTGGAGCTCCCAGTTGTAAGACGAATTGGGAAGCAGGAGTGGCATCCACTTCCTTAACCACATGCCTCTGAAAACTCTATAAAGTTTGAGAAATGATAGTCATAGAAAGGCCTCAGGTCTTTTGTTCATGGAGTCACTATGAGTGGTGCATGACTTGAAGGCAATCAGCAACAGCATGATAGAAAGAGAATTGATGCCTTTGAGCTGTGCTGTTGGAGAAGAGTATTGAATATACCATGGACCGCCAGGAAAATAAATGGGTTTGTCCTGGAGAGGGTGAAATCAGGCTGCTCCTTGGAGGCAAGGATACTAAGGCTTTATCTTTGGCATACTTTGGGCGTGTTACAAAGGGGAACTAGTCCTTGAAGAGGGACAGCGTACCTAGAAGAGTGGAAGGACAGCCAAAAAGAAGAAGACCATCAATAAGATAGATTGATTCAGTGACCAGAGTAATGAGGGTGGATGTGCCAGAAACAATAAGGTTGGCACAGGATAGAGCAGGTTTCAGGTCTATTGTGCATAGGGTCACTATGAGTCACAAGTGATTTGATGACACACAACAACAACAATAAAATATCAAATAGGTAGAACATCTAAAAGATTTCAATATTAGACTAAGGCACAACTGATCGAAGTTATGGTATTGTTAGTTGTGTCCTATGTATCTGAAAGTTGGACAGTAATTAAGTATGACTAACCAAGAAATGATCCCTTTGGATTGTGATGTTGGATGAGAATATTGAATATTTCATGGACCATCTAAAGAACAAACCAATTTGCCTTGGAGGAAGTGCAATGAGGCTGCTCTTTAGAGACAAGGGTGGTGAAACTTTATCTCAAGTACTTTGGCAAGGTTTTTGACATCATGCTGGGAAAGTCCTGGGTCAGTGAAAGAGAGGAAGACGTACAATGAGATGGATTGACAGAGTGACAACCACAGTGGCACTGAGCATGATGATGATTGTGAGGCTTGACACAGTGTAGGGCAAGGTTCAGATACCTTGTCACTGGGTGGCTGTGAGTTGTAGTTGACTCATCTAACAGTAACAATGGAAGGTGCAACAGCTCTCTGGTGGCACAGAAAATTTGCTCTTGGCTGCTAACTAAGGGCTTGGTGGTTCTTCTCAATGTGAGCCACAGTTTGTTATGATCAGTCAGTTGTCTCTGCATAGTCGATAAAACGCAGTTAGACATTCTCCTGGCATTCTCTGCTTTCATCCGGGATCTGTATGATGTCAGTAATGGTATCTCTGGTGCCACAGTCTTTTCTAAACCCCTGAATCCCTGGTATTTCCTTGTCAATTTACTGTTCTAATGAAACAGTTCTATACTGACATGTAGGATTGCTCAGTAGCAGTGCATGCGTATTTTGGCAAAGAATGTGTATCCAAAGAAATGAAGTGAGAGGATGAAACAGCAGCTTTGGCAAAGCTGCTTTTGAGTGAGGACAAATTGCACCATGTCTCTTGAAAATGAAAAGTCAATGACCTTTAAATACTAAAACTCTGTGAAACTCACTGCTATCAGATCAGTTCCAAATCATGGCACTCTTTTGGGGGGGGGTGTCCATGGCTATAAATCTTAAAGAGAGGAGACAGCCCATTTTTCTTTCTGTAAGAAGCTGCTGGGATTTGAACTGCTCGCCCTTTGTTTTAGCAGCTCAATATGTTACATACTAGGACACCAAGGTTCCTTCAGTGACCATTATTGTTATGGACCATTTAGTCAGAACCAACTCATAACTGAACCTCTGGTGCATTTTCAGAGGCAGTAAATCACATGACAGGAGATTGCCCATCTTTATCACAGAAAGCAGAAGGTAGACTTGAACTGTGTTCCTTTGAGTTGGCCGTGCAACTCTACTGATTAGTATCAGAGCATCACATATTTTTTTTTGTTATTTGAGTGGAGAGTGATACAGGAGAGACTTCTTGATCTAAGAGAATTTGAGTCAATGCAATAGACAATATTCTAACCAAGCTGATTGTGATGTTTATCATAAAACATTAAAGCAATCATATATGTTAGGGAAAGTGTGTAAGAATTACATATTACCACTGTGTATCTTCAGAATATTCTGATGATTCTCAGTTATCATGAACAATATCTGCCCCTCACTCTTACTGTTTAGCATCATTTATGCTCTAGAGACGTGAGCCATTTAATTGTTAGTACAATTTGACTTACTAACGTGAGAATTTGAATCCAGGAGAAGTCATGTATATACTTACACAAAATTCAGAAAGAACCAAGTATAGAAGGCACAGCCAGTCAGTGTATCTATATTCTGGACTCTCTCGTTAAAATGGCTTATTAGGTTACCATTTATTAGATATTTATTAGATATTATTAGATACCATTTCACCCCACTAGCAGTGGCAAAGTTTAACAGGACTACAAGCAATAAATGTTGAAAAGGATGTGGTGAGGTAGGAACTCTCATATAGTGTTTGTGGGATTGTGAAATGGTACAATCACTCTGGAAGGCAGTTAGGCATTTCCTCAAAAAGCTGAACATAGAAATTCCTTATGACCCAGCTGTTCCACTGTTAGGAATATAGTTTGACACAATATTTGTACACCAATGTTCAATTATTCATGATAACAAGAATAGGGAAATAGCACATATGTCCCTCAACAAACTACTGGTTTGAGAGATTGTGGTATGTTCACACAATGGAATACTATGCAGCACTCAGGAGCTATGATTTATAAAGGTAACATATAACATGGGAAAGATTAGAGAGCATTATGCTGAGTTAACTAACTCAGTTTGTAAGGATAATACAGCATAAAACCATTACTATAAAGATGGAAGTATAACGAGTAACATGTGCATAAATATCCAAAGACGGAAGCGGAGGGGGTAAAGGGGGTGAGAAAAAGGAAACATAGATTTGCAGAGTTTCATTGATGGAGGCAGGGAGTGAAAGAATTTGGAATGATCCAATGGGGACCTGAAAACATGTGGTAATAATTTTTAAATTTTTTTATTTTATATTTCTTTTATATAAAACCCATATATAATGTGTTTCACACTTTCCTTCACTGGCATGATGTTTCATACAATCATTTGCATACATTTTATAAAATTAATCACCATTGAAATATGTCAAGCATTATTCCATCTTTTCATGTCCCCATGTGATCTTTCCTATTTCCTTTACCTTCTCCCTCCACTCACCAAATTGTGCAACCCTGATTTCTTCCAGTCCACCCTTACCTTTCTGCTCCCATTTCTTCCCTTCTTGGACTTCCATATATATTTTACCAGTTATCCTTCTAATTTATTTATGTGGTATTTGTCCTTATGAGACTGAGTTAGTTCATTTAGCATAAT